AAAAAAAAAAAAGAAAAAAAAAAACAGAAAACCATGTTTGCGAAATAAACAACAAACCTGGATGAAATACTCCCCAATCTAACTAAAATTCAACCCTCCAATAAAATTCTTAACCAACACATCTCCTAATTATAAAAACAAAAAACATATTATTGCCGTTCAAAAAACCAGAAAATCTCTCTTTGAAACTATCCTAAAACGAATAGTCTTCAAAAATTCGAACAAAAATCTTGTATAACACAAAGTTTAAAAAACTCACTGTCAACTCTACTCATTAGAAGACGTAGCTGAACAATTTTCCTTTGAATGCCAGGCTGAGCAAATGTATAATTATCTTGTATTGTATCCAACAATGCTGTTACACACCAAAAACTATCTGCTTCAACAATATCAAGTGTTTCTTTTTGAAGCTGGGCGACATCATAAGTCCCTACTTCAACATCTGAAAAAAAACTTCGCCTTCAAAGTGAACCATCTACAGTTAATAGCATACGATAGACCAAAATAAAATGGCAAGCTTTTACCAAAAAAAGTACCGCTAGAAACAAATTCAGACAAAAAAACGACGAAAAACGGTGTAACAAGATCGTTTATTCCTTGTACATAACCGCTTGCAGGATGTCGTATAGCCCAAATGTAAAGGATGCGCTCGAATATCTGTAAAAAAATTAGAATGAAACTCGTACAAATAACCATACGGTAGTACAACCGACTGTGCACTGTACCTCCTGAACAACTTTTTGTTGGAAAAGAGGAATAAGAGGACACATCCGAGGAATATCAATGTGAATCTAAAAATTATTAATTTTAGAAGGCAAAGATGACAAGCAATCACAAGAAAGACGCATGATCCTCTCTCTTCGAAATCGCTTTAGCGGCAAATAAGAAATTACACGAAAAATATTTTCAACAATTGCGAAAAGAGCGTAGTAAATCAACTGCTCTAAAATACCAAAATCTTCCGTCAATAATATAAATATTTCTTTATTTTTTCATCATACTTCTTAAAAAAAGGGGCGAATCTAACTAAACAACATTACCTGTCTGAAAGTTTCCTGATGTTGATCTTCAAAACGAGTATGGAAATACTGTTCAACATAGTGCCAGTACTCTAGCCTTTTCTTTTGAAGCGTTATTTCTCTTCTCTCGAAGTTTGTAGGAAGATAACCCTATAAAGTCTAGTTCAAGCAAACTAAAGCATTTCATAATTCAAACCCTTTCCAACGAGGAAAGTCACAAAAATATAGAATAGGGTGAACAACAAAGTTTTTAATGACATTTTACTCTGCATAATTTTTACGGAAAACACTAGTTAAAAATACGCAACTATTGCCAAACTTCAACATATTTAGACTCACGGATAGTATCCTCCACACCATCGGACGCAGCTTATGAGGAATACCCATCCAGCAGTCCTTTCTAAGTTTCTCAATATCAAGATCAGAAACACCAGAACCACTGGGAGTTCCGTCTGAATTGAGACCGAGATAGTTCCTAAGACGTTCAAACCTCAGATGATCCCGCTCCCGGCCGAAGCCTGTAATCCTGTGTTCTGAGAACAAATAATATTAAATGTGTGGTTTAGTCCGGTACTCATTGTCTATAAACAATAACATTTAAAAAACAACGCAACCGATAAAAATAAAAAAATAAAGAAACACAGAAACAGGGAAACTCTCGACGGCAAACAGAAAACAGTAGTTGTTTAGTGGCACAAATGTTGAGCATACATTATTCACAAGCGTAACCTCTAATTTTTGATTTCACAACGAAGTTGTTCCATAAAAAAAAATACCAGAACTATTTGACGGCACGCGATTAGCACTAGCACCCTTGGCTGTATTTGATCCAGAAACAGTGGAAGAAAATGCAGAAGTTTCTGCAGAAACCTGAATTTTGTAAACAATTTAACAGCGGCTATACGCCAACAAAGTCAAAAGAGCAATAAAGGAAGTACTTCTTAAAAGCTGCGTTACTCATCAGTAGTTTAGGCTCCAAAAAATAATTAGGTTTCGTTACAGGCTTTTCTTCTATGGCAAGATTCTATTAAAAACCGGCTCGAGTTTAACAAATGAAGGTACCTTCGGAAGTTTTGGATATATTTCCGCTGCTGGGAGAGCACAAGTCTTTGCACCATGTGCTGGAACAGTTGAACTGGGAAGTGGTTCTAAAGTTGTTACTTCAAAATTTCATTCAAGAAAAGCAATGTAGGTGTAGAATTATTGCTTTCAATACAATGCAAGCAAAAGAGAAAATAGAATTTTTAAGAAAATTTTTTTAAATTGACAAAACCTTTCTGTACAGCGAGACGTTGCATTGCTTCCATTTTGCTGTATTTTGATGGTACCGAACTTACTGGTGGCATAATCTGGTCGTACATGCACATTGCTGCATGACGCTCGAGGACTTTATCAGCGCTGGTCTTAGCCGCTCGAGTGTCCAAGGAAACAGAACTTTCCCACGCATCAGATACGCTAGAACGATTTCCATCGTCAAATAAACTCAATAACGTATTTCAAAAAAATTAAAGAGACTCATGCTTAGTGTTTTTTCAATCTTTTGCAGCAAGCTAAATGCAAACGTAAACAGCAAAGGCTGATTTCACAGTTCTCATCCAGTGCAACAATCTACACTTCAGACAAAAAACTAGCTAAGTATCCACCGCAACAATAAAAGAATGCACAAACACCTTCATCGTAATAAAACACATCAAGACAATTAGAAAAGAAGTTTAAGTAAGTACCTTTCCTCATATTCTTTAAACTTCGAACCACGATTCACTTCAATTTCCGTTCGGCCTCCTGCTTCAGCAACACCATTCGAAAGTGGTGGATATCGTGCTCCATACACCGGTTTCACACTTAAATGACCAAAAAGATTAAAATCACTTGATATAGTGAACCACTTTAGACAGAATGAGTTTCAAGAGGACTATTAGGACCGATAAAATGCATGGTACTTGAACTGATCGTTAAAAAAAAAAAAAAGATTAATTTTTTACTAAATTAAGATCGTTACTGGCTAGATCTTTCAAAAAACTTCAAACAATTGGAACAGAACAGATCAACTTCTAGATTGGCTATCAAACAACTAGCAAATTTTGTGAATAGACAAGTAAATAAAGCTTTAAAATAACCTTCCTGGTATCGCTGAATGCTGCGTCCAACTCCAATTCATTACAACGCATACATTGTGTTAAACTAGACTAAAATTTTTCAAGCGTTTTTTTTTACAACGCAGCTGGATACAGGTACAGAATTATCTGTGAAACCCTGCCGCCGTGGATCGCTTTGGCGAAGAGTGTATTATTCCAAAGAAACTTAATGCAATTCAGCACAAAAGTCAAACTTTCGTTTCAAGACTACTTTGCGCAAGATTTGCCAACGAGTGCAGCTTCGACGCGTTTTCGGTCTATTAAACGCATGCACAAATACACATTTACAATATAACTATCAAAAAATTTCTGGCTCTGTTTTTGTTGTATATATATGCAAATTATAACCTGCATAAATCCTTAAAAGTAATGGACTTCTTGCCTTTTCTCTGTTACATTTGTAACTGCCATTTTTGCGGTACTGTGTTGTTGATCTTCAAAGTTAAATTATGGACAAAAAAGTTCTCAAATTTTTCAGTTTGCAACAACGAGAAATTCTTAGATAGCTTTTTTTCTTCGTATCTGCGATATTGTTCTGACCGTCTAACAGACCTTAAATTTTCGCAGATGAAGTGAGATTGCCATATTTCATTGAAGTTTACTTATTCTCAGAAAAAACTTTTGCTGTTAACTCACCTTTATTTTTGCGTAGGAAGATCTCGACCTTGCCTGATTTATGTGTAATAATTTCTGAGTACTAGATACTGCATTTGAACTTTTTTAGTGATCTAGTGTTGAAGTGTAGTTTTTTAACTCCTGTGGCGTTTAAAAAACCTTTAGTAGCGTGTGGTATAATCGGAGGTGGTAACCTCTGATCACTGAAATTTTAAAAATTTGCAGAGTTTAAAGTCGGTTCTCAACCATACTCTTCGTTTTAATTTTTCTCGACCAGTTGTTTTCTGATCAGCGCAGGAAGGCCTACCTAATTATAGCCTGTTGGCCGTATCGTGCACACGAGACTTATTGAACCACTCATTTCCTCTATAAGATGGCAAAAGAAGTTGCAAGCAAAAACTTTCAGGAATGTGCATATGTTGTGTACACCACAACCATCCATGACTTTACCCAGCAGTTGCGAGAAGTACTCTGAACAGGAAGAACATAGCGACAATTTTGGCCAGATTTTCATCCCTTATTCCTTCTGTCAAAAAACCGACAGTAAGAAACGGTAAAACTAGGTGGTACTGCGTTAGTAAATACTTCTTCTAAGTTGAGTGAAGCGAACAGGAAACAGTAAGTAAATTTAAAACTCAATTTCTTATAAACCAATATCTTTAAAAAACCGAAAATTTTTTATTTTTTGGTCTTAGAAAACTAACATTTTATTAAGTAAAATGTTACCGATACAACTATAAAAAACATTCTTCACCACCTTTTGAACACTCATATTACAATCACAGTAATATTAGTAATGAGCTCCCTTTACTCATCAAAAAGTACAGTAAAATACAGCGAAGTAAGCAGATTAGCAAAAAATTTCAAACTGTGCTGCCCTAATCGAGTGGTAGAAAAATTTTAGCGACACGGTGAAGATCTGGTGGAGACAGAACGAAATGGCAATAAAGTGTTTGACTCTGAACAAGAGTGACTTCTTAGGAAACAAAACCAGCGGTTTCACTTCAGAGGAATTTTTCAGAAAACATTACCAAGTTTTTGGAAGGACTAAATTATCGAGTTCTGTGAAGTTTTTCGTCAAAGAATTGACTGGATTTTCTCAACCTGGAAACATACCGTCAAAATGATCAGGCATTCTTGCGCAAAATCCAGTTGAAGTTATTGTTAACAACAATCATAAACTTGAGCTTAACATGAACAGCAATCACTTTTCCCTTTCCATTAGCCAGATTCCGCAGTACATTTCGATTTTTGAAGCGTCATTTGTTAAGTTTTGGCTTATAAATTCAGAGCTGAATGAAATTATAATAATTAAGCACCCGTTTTAGACACTTCGTTTGAGCAATGTAATTTTGACGGTAATGAAAAAAAATAATCAGTTTTTTTTTTTTTTATAGGAAATCGAGTCTGGCACCGTTTATCAGGACCAACTTTTTTGAGAAAATGTGACTTTTATTAAAGTTTATGTTCTGTTTTGAATTAAATCTTTTTAATTATCACATGAATACAGTTTGGTTTCGTACTCATTCTAAAATAATAGATGGAATAATTTCTGAATTCTGAAAAAATGAAAAAATATATCTGCTGACATAAGAATTTATAGAATACAAGAACAATTTTCAATCACTTTGCAACATTTTACCAGATAAAACTGTGTTGAGCATTTCAAGAAATTAGTTTTAAAGTTTTGAAAAAAGAATTATTTGATACATATCTAGTACATGAAATGTAAAAATTAGATATCATTATTTTTCTGCAACACAAATTTTAAGTGACGAATAGAATGAAATTACACAAATTTCCAGCAATCATACAGAAGTGTCACGTCATTTTTGAAAATTTTTACAACATTTTTTCAGCTTAACTATTGCAGGACTTTTTGAGCAATAATTTTTCTCTCCTGTCTACCGTTAGTTACTTTATTGTTACTTTTCATTATAAAATGGTAGAGGTCAGCGTTGGATCAAAGTATAAAACTTTTTTTATTCAAATTTACAATGTTTATCACACTTGCTGAACTGAACCACTGTAAAGATTGTAACGGTTAATGACAAGGAATATGACTTAGACAGAAAACTTGCTTTTATGTTAGTGATAAGTAAAGTGGAATTTTAAATCCTGATAACAAGTTGTTTTCCTCAGAGTGTTGCCGATAGAAAATTGAGTTGTTTTTGATTGCTTTTTAAGACGACAAATATTCCTGCAGTCGTTCGCAGATTCTTTTCGACATTTTCATTGATCTTCGGCATAAATTTTTGGAACTCGTTTCATTTCTGACAGATTGACTTGTGCTGGTAATCTTCTAGATAAAGTACTCTGATATCGCAGTCAGAGACACAAGATCTATCAATTGAAAAATTTTTAAAAGGTTTCGAGACACTAGCTGGCATAGTGCGCATTTGATATGGCATGGATTAAAAAGGTTTTGCTTGTCTAAATGAACTTCTATTAACCACCGTTTAGAAGAACATTAAAATAAGAAGTGCAGCACCATTTATCGGATTTTGGGCAAGAATGTCATTTTGACACCTTTTCTCCCTTCAATTCGCTACCTTAATGAGAGATCAAATGTTTCTCTGTGGTTAGTCTTTTCAGCCCATTAATCAAGTTATTGAGGTTAAGACAGGCCAGGATTGTCCTATAAACTAATTTAAATAATCAAAAAAATAAATGCAGTTGATAACGGAGAAGCGTTTGAAGCTAAATTCTAAGTAAGGCTTGATGTTGCGAAAAAGTTTCCAAGAAGAGAAAAAAAAATTTTTTGACTTCTTTCGCTTTTATCGTCAAAATTTTATTCAAATCGTATTAATATTCCACACAGATATTCCTAGTTGAACAATTTATCTATATGTTGCCTGTTCAAAATAGTAGTACCATGAGGAATTCGGAACAGATCACTAGGAAAACTGATTTAATTTATTTATAAAACCTTACAAGGGACATTTTGCAACTGTTGAAAACGAATCGCCAGTTTATATTTGGGCTCTGAAAAAATTATTCTTAAGAACTTTAAACTTGACAAGTAGGATACTCTTTATATTTCATCAATTAAACTAGGTCTGTGGTCGTTTTAATTAACGTCACTTTAGTGATCTCATTGACACTGAATATTTGCAATACGTAATTTTGACCTTGTTTGATGGTTGAAATTACCGCAAATCAAAACCATCAAGACTTTGGTACTTGGCATTGCATGACTCCTGAAACAGTGAAAGTGGAAAGGTATTTTGACAAGGTGAGGAAAGAATGCGGTGCAATAAAATACTTTTTAGTTTTATTAATGTCTACATAGAAAAAACAATTTTCTGTAGAAGTTTTATTTTAAAGACAATACCCTTGGTATTCAGGTCGATACGTGGAATTTTGGAACGACGCTTCAGAAATTTCTAGCGCGATAAGCCCCGTAATAGTTTGGTTATATGTTATATTGTTTCGGAAGTTTCTCAAACTCCAATTTGTGAAGAAATAATTTCGTATCTTCCGGTTAAAACACATGGAAAACAAGACTCCATTTATTTTGTAATTCCTCAGCAGTAGGCGACTCATGCAGTTATTTTGATGGTTGAAATTACGTTCCAAAAAAAAAAAATTTTAGTTCTAAAACCGAAGAAAAATTTCGAGTAAACTGAGAAAATAGCCGTCATCTATTGACGGGCTAAAAAGTTTAGTAAATATGTAGACGAAATCAGATGTTCTCCCACTATGTAGGTTATTTAATTTCACTATTTAGATTTTTTAAAATCAATTTTTTGATTACAGTAATAGTACCTGTATTATGAGCTGCTTTTCTCATCATCTCACGCTGCAGACTCATTCTTTGCTCGACCCGATTAGATGAAAGGAATTGGATGAACTACGCCATCATTGAAAGTCATATATAGTTGAAAAAGCAAAAATTGCAAATAACATATGGACAGAAATCAGCCCAGAAAACTAAATGTGAACTCGGATCAAGTTTTATTCGGTTTCGCAAAAAAGAAGCTGGCACAGGATTCAGCGTCATTTTATGCCTATGGAATGGCCACGACAGATGTGACCGTGTGCTAGAATTGGACTTGTCCCTTCACTTTTCTGTTACAGGAGTGAAAAAATGAAATTTTTTTCAAAATCATAACGCTTTTTATTGATAGTATGATTTTGCCTAATTTTGGGGAACCAAACATAACATGACTGTATAACAGCACAAAGTTTTATAAAAACCTGACGGCAAAACGCTGCTGTTGCATGAAAAATAAAACCGATGCTTCCATTCAAAATTTGTTCCGAAGTGACTTCTGTTTGTATTCAAGACTGTTTCAGAGGACTGTCAGAAAGTTGGGAAGTTTCTTCAAGAAGATTACCTACTTGTAATGAAAATGGAGTAGCGGCCTGCAAACCGTATGACGACTTAGTTACTCTTTCCACACCTCGTCAACAGCATAGCTATTTTATCTTGTTCTTTATACTGCAACACTTCAATTCGCACGTAGGTGATTAAGTAAGATGCATGGATAAATTAATGTGCGACAATGCTGTGTTCTCCAAAACGCGAGAATAAAAGGAGTTAAACGAATTGTGGTAGTAATAAAGATTATAGGGAAATCTTTTCACTTTGCGGCTACATTATCTAACTTGTTCCACTTCGACTGTCGCCATGGGAGCAATAACAGCAAACACAGACTGCAACCAGAAAAAGAATCAGCTGAGGCATCAAAAAAAAAAAAAAAAATTGACTCTTGATGAAACAACCGGAGGGGTGGGCAGCAAGGGAGACAGAAGTTGAGAGGGTTTAAGTGTTAGCATTTTATGGATCACTGAATGATTTTGGAAAATACTAATATTTTTTACAGCTAAAAGTCACTCGCCTAACTGCCGCATAACTGAAGGTTTTATCCTTATTCTACTTTATTTCTATTCTTGACTTCTTAATGCATAGTCCTTTCCTTTAAATGTTGGAGAGATCCGAGTTCCGTTTATGCATTCATCCAATACTATTTTGAAGGTTTAGTTAGCCAAATTTGAGCTTTGGTTTAATGAAGTTTTGAGAACCTGTACTGGTTCTGTGAGGCAGGCCGGAAATCAAACAGGGACTCTGCTATTAAGAAACTTCTGATAATAGGAAAAGAAGAAAGAAGGAACGACAGAAGAACTAACCTTAAAGACACTTTTTTCTTCATACCGAGTGCACTGAATAAATGAGTGCATGTTGAAAAACTAATCTTTGGTTGCTTGGCCCTGGCTTTTGTTGTAAAATCTTGATGCCTTAATCCAACAGTTCTTTTAAGCTGCATTTCAGTACATGCTGCAACAGCAGTCCTATTTTCCTTCCTCCCAACATTAAAATTTGAACACGTTAAAATAGGTCCTTAATTAGCGCTTAAAGCTACTTCATTGCTGACCAGAAAAAAATGCGGTGCTCTTTAAACTTTAATTTAAAAAAAGCGTTGTCCAAATAGAAACTGAACCAGGAAAATCCAAACCCTTTTTTTTTTTTTTTTTGGCTTCATATATTGTCACTGAGTTCCTTAGTAACAGTATATCTGTAATTTCCTATACTTGTAAGTGTCAAAAAAATATAAATCATTTCTAATGTTTTTTAAGTCGTTTTTTTTTTTTGTTCTTGATTATTTTGAAATCTTGTTCATGGCTCTTGGACGAGAATACCGCTGTTTTGTCCAAATTTTTCAAAGCATGAAATTAGCGCGGCATTTTTTAAATTGTCGCTGCGATCATTGGTCTTCGATTTCTGTAATAGTCGTTGGTCATTTGCCACAAACTATTCTTCGACCATCTGTGATGTAGTGGGACTGAGGGTTGAGTCTGCCTCCTCGATGAGGAGTCCTGTTTAAGGTAGTTCAAAGTCGCATGACATTGCTTTCTTTTTGGCTTTCTTTTGAAGCCAGTGGGTAGGTTGTTTTACATACGGATATTAGAAATGATGTGGGTTTATGGATCAAATTCTGTTTTTTCTTGCAATTTTGCTCCCTTCGGAGCCGCTTTGTTTTTTTGGTTCCAGTTCGACTTAAATTAGACGGTTTTTTAAGTGTTTTGTTCTAGCAAGTATCTTTTTTGTATTTAAAGGTTCTCTTTTTTATTGTTTGTTGTATTTTTTGTCGAAGTTTGTTTCGGCTTAACGAATTCATTATGTCCTAGAAGTTTCTGCCAAGGTTGAGAATTCATATAATTCCAGGTTACTTCGGTTCGGTTCTACTACAGGTGCACGCAGCATGCCTCCGAGTTTACTTGAAAATATCAAAGAAGGCACATATGGGTTTGTGTATGGTGTATCTGGTCCTGGTATGTTTTAGTTGCATTTAATCAACTAAATTGAATTTAGCTAGCATTTGTAAACTGCTATAACCAGTGATTTTTGAACCGTTTGTATCGTGATTTGTCAGTTGTGACCGCTGAAAATATGGCTGGTTCTGCCATGTACGAACTTGTGCGAGTCGGGCATTCAGAGCTGGTCGGTGAAATTATTCGGCTGGAGGGCGATTATGCTACCATTCAGGTTTACGAGGAAACATGTAAGACGATTTGATCTATTGTCCTTCAGCATTTGCCTGTTGATAGTCTTCGTGAACTTTGAGTTAAATATTACTTACAATTTAAATACAAAATTTTTTTAAGCTGGAGTTACTATTGGTGACCCTGTATTACGTACTGGGAAACCGTTATCAGTTGAACTTGGGCCTGGTATTATGGGTTCAATTTTTGATGGTATTCAGCGCCCCCTTAAGGGGATTGCTGACCTTACAGAGTCAATTTATATTCCCAAAGGTGAGAAAATGGTTTTTGGCAATAATACTTCGGTGTGAATGGCATCAGGGGATTTCAATTACTTTAAAAATTTGTTGAAAGAAATTGAATTTTTTTTGTATCTTTCTTTCTAGGTGTTAATGTTAATGCCCTGTCTTCTGAAGCACGTTGGGATTTTGAACCAAACAAGAAGCTGCGTGTCGGTGACCACGTAACTGGTGGTGATGTAATCGGTCAGTACCTGTATAGAATTATTTTTTGATTTTCCTGCAGTACTTTTATTTCACTGTATTTCTTTTTATTTTATTTTCTACTCAAAAAGCAGATCAAAAAAATTTTCTCCAACATTTTTGGCATGGTATTATTTTCAGGAGTTGTACAAGAAAATCAACTTATTAAACACAGAATTCTTCTGCCACCTACATCCTGTGGCACAATTACGTTTTTAGCAGATAAAGGGCAATATACTGTTAAGGTGAGTAATAGTTGTTTTCTTTTGCTCTTCCAGTAACAGTTGAATTGATTAGAGTATTTTCAGGATATTGTCTTAGAGGTTGAGTTTTCTGGAGAAAAGACTAAGTTCCCTATGTTGCAAGTGTGGCCAGTTCGTCAGCCACGTCCATGTGCCGAGAAGCTGGCAGCGAATTATCCACTTCTTTGTGGCCAACGAGTTTTGGACGCACTGTTCCCTTGCGTGCAGGGTGGTACTACTGCTATTCCTGGTATACTTTGGTTTCATTTTGGCTTCAGTTTTTCAATTTATTTCGAAATATTATGTAACCGCCAACCTTACTGCTTGTTATAGGTGCTTTCGGGTGTGGAAAGACTGTAATTTCACAATCACTATCAAAGTTTTCCAATTCTGATGCTATCATTTACGTTGGTTGCGGTGAACGTGGGAATGAAATGTCTGAGGTGAACGAGTTAAAAATTTGATCTTTTTTTTTTTCTTTGACGTCGTAGTCAAGTGAAAATCTCTATATCATCCATTTACTTTCTGTTTAGCTTTTGAATAAAATTTACTTCAATAAAAAATTTAGGTACTTCGTGATTTTCCGGAATTGACGATGGAGGTTGATGGTGTTACAACATCTATCATGAAACGTACTGCTCTCGTAGCAAATACATCAAACATGCCTGTGGCTGCTCGTGAAGCTTCAATTTACACTGGTATCACTCTTGCTGAATACTTCCGTGATATGGGCTTGAATGTCGCTATGATGGCTGACTCAACTTCTCGATGGGCTGAAGCCCTTCGTGAAATTTCAGGTGAATTATCATTTGGGTGTTTGTTTTGGGTTTGTATTTAAAGACCTCTTTCTGTTGTTGGGTATTTCCTCATTCAGCAGAATCCAGCATTTTTTTGGATCTCTTTTAGGGCGTTTGGGTGAGATGCCTGCCGATTCTGGTTATCCTGCGTACTTAGCAGCTCGTTTAGCATCATTCTATGAACGGGCTGGCAAAGTTAGATGCCTGGGTAATCCTGGAAGAGACGGTTCTGTTACCATTGTAGGAGCGTAAGTAGTTGTTTTCGTCGTCTCAGGTCTTTCTCTACTACAGCTGTTTTTTTTATGTCGGAACTTTCGAATCAGGCTTTTTTGATCACTCAATTTTTTTTCTTTTTTGATGTCTTCTACTTTCTGGTACTTCAGCATCTTAGTCATTTCTTCCGAATATTCAAAGGTTTATAATGCATTTCAACTTAAAATTCGTTTTGACGTGGTTACTATTGGACAGTCGAATTTTTTAGCAGGGAAACACGCTGGATAATACAAGTTTACTTTGGGAGCTTATTCGTTTTCCCATCGATTTTAACCTCCTTATAATGAAGTATAGAAGCGGAAAATCCTTTTGCCTGTTGATTGGTTTGAGAGAGGGTTTTGAACAATTAGAACTTTGGATTCCTCAAGATTCAAAAAAAATTTCTTTTCCGGAACTCTGTGCAAAATTAAAATCTTTGCTGGCAACAATGAGATAGAGTCATATGTTTCCAAAGAATTTGATTACAGTTTAATAAGCAGTAAGAGTTATGTATTTTCTGTCATTCTAGTCGGCTTATTGGTTCTTACTAGCACCCACTTCTTTAGCTGTCGCTTTTTGGCAATGAGGAAAAAGAAATTTAGTCTAGTTTTAGAACATAAGTAAGGCTATTGAAAGTCTGGTTTGTCCGATTTGTCCTACGACGATGCTCCTTTATTTCAGTGTCTCGCCCCCTGGTGGTGATTTTGCAGATCCTGTGACGTCTGCAACTTTGGGTATTGTGCAAGTGTTCTGGGGTCTCGATAAAAAGTTGGCACAGAGGAAACATTTTCCATCTATCAATTGGTTGATTTCTTACAGGTTTATCTCTAGAATTTTTTTGATTTTTTCTAGAATTATCTTTGCGGCAATGATCTGTATATTGTGGTTCGGAATTTTCTAATGGGTAGCTACATTTATTACGATTTTTATAAAACTCATGGTGCAGTAGTGGTATCAGTGTGAAATCTTTCTAAAACATATTGTTCTGACCGTGGCGCGGTGGTTGCTTCAGGTATTGTGTACTCGTTAGGTGAAGTAGGTTTTGCTTTATCTTTTACCAAACGGCGGATAGCATCGAAACACGAGCACTGCAATAGCATAGTTTTCAAAAAGGTGCGAGAACAACGAGCACATTTCATAAATAAAATTATTTCAGTTGTTTTTAGTTACTTACCTTGTCACTGTCGTTTATGTAAACAATGTATCTGTACCAAGCCACAGATAGTGCTAGTGAAGTTATGCTAATAGCACTGGATATCAGTAATCCAAGCACTGTGGCTGCTACAGTGAGTATAACTTTCCAGTTGTTTTGTGGCTAAATTAAAGTACTCGTTTAAAATTTCTTAGTATTTGGCAATTTAGTATAGTTTGCTTAGTTTATTGGAGTTACTGTGCTTTGAAGTTAATTAACCTACCAGTCTGAAAAATATGATGCAGATGAATAGGGCGTGTATTACTGCGTAAATCATGGCAATACATACTGTTATTGCATTTATGATGACGAAATCCAAAATTTCTAGCTTGATCGACACCAGCAAAGAAAATTGGCCAAAAAACCACAAAATGCATATGCCTAGAATGGGTAGCGTTTAAGCAGAGTGACATCGGCTGAGTTTTCTTGTCAGTTAAGCGAATTTAGAAAGTGGTTTAACAGAAGGCGAGAGTTAAAAAGAATTTTTGAATTTTTTTGAAGTTGTTGGAATCTTGTTCAACTTCAGTTGTACAGTACCAGTGTAGACTATGGTGGACAGCTGAAGTAGTTCCTTCAGTTCAATATCTGGGTTTTCTGTAGTTTTCGTCACATCGTCAGATGAGTTCTAAAGTAATATAGAAGGCTTCACAATTGTTTTTCGATTTTCTGATAGTGGTAAGATTTGAACAAATTATTTCAGCAATGTTGTCTTATTTACCAATCATCAAAACTGAATAGTTACCGAGTAGTTTGATTCAGTGCTGCTGTTGAACCAGTAGTTGAGTAGACTACTTTCATTATCACTTTCATATCCATTTGCTTGTAGCTCATTCGTATACCAGATAATAAGGAAGATACTGAATGCTACACTTAGTAGCAGCGCAGTAAATTGGAGCAGAAGGCTAACAATGCCTGATTTCTTTGGAGATATAAAACATATACGTTGAGAGTAGGGATTGTCGTGAATTGGCCCTTGAAAGAAATTTTTTTAGGGAAAAGGTTGGAAGTCAGTGGAGTCAGCAAACTTACTGTTTTCATAAGCGAGCATTCTCAGGATTTTTTTACTTCAGCCAGCTCTTTAGTGCTTTATCTTCAGCAAATTAACATTAGATCAGCTTGACCTGAAAACAGATATAATAAAGTTTTGTCTTTGGTTTGAAAACTTATTATTATGGAATCAAAAGTTTAAAAGCTTTTCAATGAGAAGATTGGAGGCAGACACAAATGCATTTTTATTGGAAATCACTAATCTCGTTTATGGTCAGCGCATAAATTTTCTATGTGTTGTTATGTTACGTTTCCTATGGCAACCATGCTTATATATTGTTTTTGCGTGAATTTTTTAATAGTGATGTTATTCAAGGTGTTTTAAAATGTTACAAAATTTTTTTTGGAGTTCGTAGTCAGTTTTGATTTTTTTTTTCTCTCTGCTTTTCTCATATCACATTTAGCGTTATTGCTTTTTTTGCTCCGCTACTGCACTGGAGTCATAATATTTTGTTCTGTATTCATTAGTCACTTTCTGTTATAACTGCTCAAATTTGAATCTTTCAGTAAGTATATGAGAGCACTGGATGACTTTTATGAGAAGAATTACCCAGAGTTTGTAGCTTTGCGTACAAAATGCAAGGAAATTTTGCAGGTTTGAAGGTTTCGGATGATCTATCAAACATGTTTTTATTAGATTTTTATTAATCAGTTTCTCGTTTTTTGTGCGGAACAAATCAATTTTCAGGAAGAGGAAGATCTTTCTGAAATTGTGCAGCTGGTTGGTAAGGCGTCTCTGGCAGAATCTGATAAAATCACTTTGGAGGTAGCGAAGCTTCTAAAAGATGACTTCTTGCAGCAGAACGGTTACACTCCATATGATCGGTTTTGTCCATTTTATAAGACAGTCGGCATGTTAAAAAATATGTTAGTGTTTATAATTTCGAATTGTTTTTAATATAGATTCTACCTCTCTTACTTTTTATGAAACGATTTGTCTGTCGTTGTATAGGATCGCCTTCTATGACCTTGCTCGACATGCTGTAGAGGTAACAGCTCAAAGTGAAAATAAAATTACTTGGGCAACCATCAGAGATCATATGGGTGACTTAATGTATCAGCTGTCTTCAATGAAGTTTAAGGTTTGGCTTCATCGTTGTCACATCTTGATTTTTAAATGTTGACTTAAAGTTATATTTTAGGAAAGTTAGGTTAAATTTTGTTATAGTGCATTCATTACGATTATTTCCTATGTATTCATTTACTTTACAGGATCCAGTCAAAGATGGGGAGGAGAAGATTAAAAAAGATTTTGACGATCTACTCGAACAATTGCAAGTTGCATTCCGGAACCTTGAAGATTAATTTATATATTATTTTAATTATTATTTATACAGAGTAACGTGACGCGGGATGTCAGTCAATTATCACTTATGAATTAGTTAGCATTTTTATGTAAGATTTGTGCATCTAATTTATGCATGTTTTCATGTTCCTAGTCATGTTTATCGTTTTAGAAAACTAACACTACGAGATTTTTATTCTTTGGGGGTGATTTCAGTCCTGAGTTTTTCGCTTGACAAGGACCGCATTTAGGTGTCTTACACATTCCAACAAAGCTTTTCTCTTAGATATTGCTTTTAGTGCTTCCATTGCAAATGCCTCATAAAATGTCGTTGTGGTTTTTTTGCCCGTCTTATAAAATTTGCTCAGGTCTAGAGAGCTTGGATATAATGACAACGATTCCTAAATTTGAAGGACGCTGTTTAATTCCAGCTTTGAAGGGTGGCGAATCTTGAATTTTTTGTACAGAACAGTTATTAGTTTTATTGGTACCTTGATAGTTCAGCTTTATTCACTGGTTTGTTAGTACAAGACTAAAAAAGACATGATGTTGAATAAATTGAAGGCGAATATTTGGCTATCTTTAATATCAGTTGTTGTTTTGTTGCAGAGCATATTTGACAAAAAGAATAAACTATTATTTTCTGTGGTTTGTTGTTAACTGTTGGTTTTTACTTGTTAGGAATTTTTTCTGTGTGTTTTGATTTTTTTCTATCTGGGATGGGATTGTAGCAGTTTATTCGCAGTTATGCATTTCTGGTTGCCATGAAAAGCAAAGTTGTTTGGTGAGGATAACTGATAATGTGCATTGGGGAATTTCGACCCGTGGAGAGGTTCGGTGGCTGGAGTGGTCTTCGTAGTAGTGGAATGGGTGATGCAATGCTTGGCAGGGATTTAAAGTTTGCTACATTCTGCTGCCCTCTTTGACGTCGACTTGTTCAGGTCCAGAGTGCCTCTGGCGCTTCCTTTTAAGTTTGAACGAGAGGGAGGAGTTCGGATGGGGAAGCGTTTTAGTTATTGAACTTTATTTTGGACGGATTCATCGCAGTCTGGAGTAAGCTTACAAATTCTGTTTTATGAGGCTTTCTGGCGCTGTTGCTTTGGCTTTTGAAACAAGTTTCTCAGCTGCTGTATAGCGATTTAATGAGGGGATGAGGACGTGCCTTTTACTCATTTATTGATCTGTTTGCGTGAAGGAAAAGTGGTTGTGCAATAGTAGAAAAGGTAACTGAAGTGAAGTCGGAAAAGGGGATTTTATGAGCATAGCTGAAGGATGGATATGTATAGGACAACTACTTACACGAGTTGTGACAAAGGTGAATGAATGCAAGTAGTTCTGGATCTTGACGCTTTTGGGTGAGTTAGTTTCTCAATGCCTTCGAAAATATGAAAATTTTTTTAAAGTTTAAAGTGGAAGGTAGCAATGGAGGTTGTGTAACAGTAACGGAAGCCCTGTTGGAGTTTTGGCAAAGAATGAAGGCAATCACTAACCAAAAGTGTTTGCTTACAGTTAGTGGAAAATCAGAGGAAAGCAGAGTTTATATTCAGACATATAGTTCATATTACTTCGGCGAACATGGTGGAAATGAAAAAGCACGAAGTGGAAAGGGAAATTTGAAAGATAGTAATCTGAGATGGAGTAGTCAGAACTCTGTTGAGTCTGATTTTTTTTTTTTTGTTTTGTTTTTCAGATGATGCTGAAACAGGGGAACAGGAAAAAAATAGATAACATCATCTTACTCTTATAGAACGCATGGATTATTTTTAAATGGATGATCTGAAGAAAAAAAAAACAAGGCTTGTTTTTGTTCTAAATTAGGAATCATTACAGATGGCGGTTCATGTTGCTGTGAACGAGCACAAAACAGTTGTGTTAGAAAGGTGGTGGGATAGTGTCGCAGCTATTACGGTATTATTCTAAAGGTAAAATTTTTTGATCGCATATGTCTTTTTTAAAAACTAAGTTTTTGATACAAATGGAAGAGAACAAAAATGGAGAGTCGGTGACTAACAAATTTCAGACGTTCAGATCAGATGTGCTAATCGGAAAAATCGGTATAAAGCTTAGACTGTTGCCAGTCCGAAGCAGTTTTGCGCAAGCCGATCAGTGATGTTTTCAAAGATTAGGGCTCAATGCAAAATCATTCCTCTTTTTTAAAGCAAATTCAGCTTCCATTCTTTGCTTCTATTCTTTTTGACGACTTATATATGATTGATACCGACTAGTAATAAGTCATATTTTTTGCTATTTAACACAGTTTTATTTTTCACAGACAATTTCAAGATAAAGTACTGTTTTTATTCAATAACTTTTTATAATAAAGGGTCAACTGCTAATATTTGAGGTCTCTGCAGAGAGCTAGCAATTTAACTTTTAATACCGGCATATCACGTGCAGTTAGCTGCTTTTGCTACCCTTATTTCTTACAACATAGCGTTAGTAGTTAGCGATATTCGTAATAGAAGTGTATGCATTCATAGTTTTCCAACAACATCTTTTTAATTTTACCACTCATTGTTCCTTGATCTCTTGATTTGATATTTTTTGTACTCATTGAAAGGCAAGTCCGTTACAGTATTCTTTCAAAACTGGTTGGCTGTTTTGGTATGGCAAAGAAGGTTTCAAGTAGCTTTGAAAAAAGTGTCTAGTCAATACTTTTTATTCTTCGTGAGTCAAAAATGTTCAATAATAGCGCTTTGTAAGACTGAAATTAATAGGGAGTCTTACAGGGAAGTAAGTCGTTAAGCAAAATTTTTCCTGCACAAATTATTTTGATAAAACTTACTGCTTTCTGTCTTTATTATTGAATTTCTTTTACTTTTTCAACAAGGTTATTTAGAAGTTTCTGTCGAATAAAGTTTTTCTTTTTGAACTGTCATTTTAACAGCAAAAAGCAATTGGCGAAAATGACTGTGAGTTGTAAGCTAAGATTTGTCAAATTCGTAAAAATGAAAATTACGATATGTTGAATATGGAAGGCAAGTAAAAAATTTATAGTATGTTGTAAGAGGAAGCAGTGTATAAGCTAGTGAAGAAATATCCACTATACTTCTTTTCTTTTCAGCAGTAATGACTTTGAAATCACAGCCTTGGATGACCAGTAACTGAAGCAAATAAAACAATTACTAAAGTGCCAAGTTGTGTTGTTTGAAATGTTACTTTTTTACTACGTCATCATTTATCAAATTGTTGACGTAGCAAGGTTAGCCCTTGTCATTATTTGTAAGTACATAAGGCTGAGAAGAATTTGACTCTTAAAAATTCTGTTCTTTGTTGAGGTATTTTAAAGTAGAATGTTTAGCTGTTTCTATAGTTACACTGGTGGGTGGGGGGAGGATCAGCATTAGAAAGCTTCCTAAACAAGTTTGTAAAAAAAAGTATAAAGTAGGTTTTTTGAATTGACCTTTCAGTTGTTTCATCTGCAAATAAATCAGCTGTTTCGCAACCTTTTTTTTTCGCAGCACAGTCAGGAAATGTAAAATATGGCATTCTGGAAGAGAGGAAATCGTCGCTTAGCAGAAGCAGTCTGGTAATCTAATGTTTACTTGTGAAGATTTCCTCTGAGCGAGATTTTTTATATAGTCTTGTTTTTTGAATGCTTTTAAGTGATGACAACGGAAGTTGGTAGAAGGTCACAATTTTTTCTACCTGTCATATTTTCTGAGATTAAGTTGGCTAAACGTGGTCACAGAAGTTTCAGTCAGAGGATTGAAATTAGTGAATGAAGCGAAATCAAGAACTAAAGGTAAGGCATAATATAAGTGTTGAGATGTACAGGTTTTATTTTCAAGAAGAAGAAAACAGGAGAAAAAGTTTTTAAAAGGTGAAATTTGTAAGGTTTGAAGGCTCAAAAAAAAAAGCTTGTTATATGATATGAATTCTAAAAAATTTGGTTTTTGGTGAAAGGAAAATTTTGTTGTCAGAATGAATAATTTTCAGTTTCTTTGATCAAAGTTCTCATGAAAATATTTGTACCTAAGAGGAATATCAGCAAAATTTTGTATTGGAAAAATTATAATAAACATTATACGGTTACATCTGAAGGATATCATTAACAGTGATGGATTAACTGTTTGAAAGAAAGATGATGGAGTTTTTCAGAAAGCGTTTTTAGAGTAGATCACCTTAACATCGTAACATTGTTTGTCATTGAAAAAAATTTGAAAAATTTGATCTTCGTGGCAAAATTTATATATTGTCCGATAAGGGATAACAGTAAATATGATAAAATAAAGAAGATAAAGCAAAAACAACGAAACAATGGTGTATATGTTTACATATTTAGGTCGTTACAAGCTTAACAATAACTTAAAACTCTTGTTGTATCTGTTTCGTAAGAAGGTCTAACAACCTTAGAACAACACGTCAAGTAATGTCATTTTGAGGTGAAAATTTTGTTTTTTTGCTTTACATCATTGCTACTATAAAAACTTACCAGTTTAAAGGATAGGACAAAAAAACAGAATAAAACAACTGGTAAGATTACTTTTAAGCGGAAGTTTTTTCTTCACTTTGCTTTGCCGTTAGTATAAATTCTGCTGTATTACAGTCTGTTGTCATCAAAAAAATTGATCATTCTTCTTTGGTTAAAACTAACAAGAACAAGGACAACCAACATTAGCGGTAGTTGTTTTCTATGTTAATTTTGATGGAAAAGCTGATTTAACCATGAAAAAAGAGAAAAGAAGACTACAAAAAAAGGAAAACTTTTATTAATTATACTTTGTATGAGTTTTGTTTGGTAAGGTTTTATCGATAATTTTATTTATGAGCACCTTGATTTTCTATACTGACTTACAAACGCTGTTAGAAACTCTATTTTTGCCAAGATTGATTCGACAATATGCCACTGTCAAAATATTTGATTTCACCAAAATTTAGTTGTTTTTTTCCAAACCAACACCATTAAGAAATTCTTTGCTACAACTTTCAAAATACAGTATGTTTAGTAAAAGTTACATCTTCTAAAACTTGACTTTTATAATTATTTGCCTTTCTAATATTCAAAATAAGGTAGAAA